CTGCAGTACATATGTAATTATGGGAATACTTCATTTTCACTGAAAACATTTTTCAGCCAAAATAAATTCCAATGAAAATGCAATTTCCCTCATACTCTATTGAGACTTGACACAGCGCAGTGAAAATTAGATCCACACGTAATGCTTGAAAAATTTTCGGCGAAAATAAATTAAGTGAAATTCTATGAGACTTCATGAGAGTTGGAAATGAACAAATTATACGACACCCACCCCTACCCCTCCATATACACTACACCCCCAAAACATCCATTCATCAGTGTATTCTATTTGACTTCAGGAGAAATTGAAATAAACAAATTATATGACAACAAACGTAATTATAATTTCAACCTCTAGTTTAGCACTGATTAAATAAACTACCCTGTCTTCATGCCAACTTGAAGTTATTCATTGCTTACATCAGTGACTTCAAAGACTATGTTTCAATCCCAGGAATTTCACTTTTCATTTCACTATTGCATGGGAGTGCCAGTCTTTTATTTTCTATTGTAATGTCAATTTCTTGCGATTAAATGGAACAAGAAGCTGTAACCACAGGTCGTCTAGGTGCTGTAACTAAATCCTGGTATAAGCACCGGTTAGGCAGGCTTGAACTATGCTGACAGGTACAAATGTATATCCAATCCTATAGATTTCTCATTGTTTGGTAACTATTTGCTGCAAATGCAACAAAAATCAATATAAAAATATTACCCACCCAGCATTCTACAGGTTACTTGTTTTTGCTAGATCTTGGTACATAAAGGTGCAAGCATCCAAAGGCAGCCTGAAACGGCCCCCAAGGATTATAGTTAAAAAAAATATCTGACTAGCTATTGGTACATTGTACATTACTAGTACACTGTAGCCTCGTTATAACAAACTCTTTGGGGGACATACAATTAGTTTGTTATAGTGAAATGTTCACTATAATGAAGCACATAATACATTGGGTTTGTTGTGAGCGGGAGACACGCTATGTGTTCATTATATCGGGAAATTCATTATAACGGTGTTCATTATATTGAGGTTACAGTGTACTTTATTTACATCAGTTTTTTTTTGTATTCATTCTAGTAATTGTTTTTTTAACATTTTTTTTAACTCAGTCTTTATTTTATTCTTATTTTTTATTATTGTATTTTCTATTATTGTCTTGTATTGTATTTGGAATTGTCCTAGTCTTGTAATACTTATTATTTACCATACTGAACCCGCTGATGGTTCGGTGACAATTTTTAGTCAATCTAATATCCCCTTGGTCTTAGACTATATAATTAACCAAGGCTACAAGATCCTCCATGCATTTGAGGAAGAAGGGCATAATACTTATTGGAGAGAGACCATGTCTACCCACTCATTACTCACACATCTCTGTGGTCGATAAAAGTAATGACAAGGCTGGGGTTTTATTAGAAACCTAAGCCAACTGAATCAGTATATACTATCAGATCATTTCAAAATGAGCTAAAAGATCTACCATGGTTCACAATACCAATCTCCTTATTTAGTGTATTGAGAGCATAACTACACAGTAATTCCATAAAAATAAATTTAGATGACTGACTCAATATAAGCTGGAAACAGTGTACCTTGTAGTACCTTGTAGCAAGTGTTTTGGATATGAAATTCAATATGTAGAGATGGCTAGTGAAACTTTCGATGACACAATTCACCAAAGTTATAAACCTGACTTGGGTGCTACACTTCAAATCAATAGTAAATTTGAGGACTCTGAGGTTAGTGGAAATAATTTTTCCTTGTAGGGAAATTCTCCCAATGCAAGCAGCTGCTGAGTATGCCTTATTCAGGTTTTAGTGCTATGAGAACAGTGGAAAGAGTCACTGCTTTGGTCACATATAGCACCACTTGAAAATGAGGGGAAGTTGCACCCAATTTCTAATCCTCCTGTCACTTCTGGTCAAAAAACTACTATGCACACTGTAGCTAGAATCAGCAACACATGAGCATTTGGCATGTTATACAATCTTTCTGCTCTCCTTCACCTCTGGCTGAAGGAGGATCAGAATAACAGCCCTCTTGTTTTGTCCTGGCTATGGTGTTACTATGAAGACTAGGCATGATTTCATGGCAAAAAAATAACAAGCAGCCTCCCGACTGAGATAGCTCCACATGTACTACCTATATGTATAATATCAAAGCACTCAGACTTGATATTTTCAACAAGAATTCAAAAATATCACTGACAAAAATATTCATCAAAATTAGATAATTGATCACGAAATGAACAAATCTGAGAGAGATCTACGTGTAGTACCGGCCACTGGTAGCCTAGTGGTTGTCGCATCAGACTCATGACTGGTAGACCCAAGTTCAAAGCCTAAATTAGGCTGAACATCAAAACGGTCGACCCCTACCCTGGGTGAGTGTGCAACAGACTCAATAGGAAGGCCTATTCCACTGGCCGAGATTCATTCACTAACAAATGCGACTTGGGAGGAACTTTGGTTAAGGTCCGCAAGTGCCTGGTTGACGCCAGAATAGCGCAGTGACATTCAAGTCGAAAATATCACTTTTTACCAAAACTGACAAAAATATTCATCAAAATTAGAGAATTGAAGATACCACAAAATGAAGAAATCTAGAACAGGTCTGCCCAAGGTACATATGCACCAAGCAATAAGAATTTTAGTGTTCAATAAGAAGTCGAAAAAGTAACAAGCAGCCTGTCGGCTGAGATAGCTCCGCTGTTAGCAATGCACATTTAAATTAAAGAACAGAAGATATCATTAGAAAATAAATAATATGTATAGTATCAAAGCAATCAGACTTGCTGTTTTCAATGAAAATTCGAAAATATCACTTTTTACCAAAAATTACAAAAGTATTCACCAAAATAAGAGAATTGAAGATATCATCATAAATTAAACAAATCTGAGAGAAATCCACCCAAGGTGCCTATATACCAAATTAGAAAGCAATTTTGACCAAATATCACAAAAATATTCGGCAAAAAAACAAAATTTGAGATTTTGACATAAAATGAACAAATCTGAGAGAGAACCATCCAAGATATTTGGATATCCAACTTGAAAACAATCTGACTTGCGGTTTCGAAGAAGAAGTTGAAATTGTAAAGTTGACGCCCATGACGGACAATCAGTAAATAAATATGAGCAGATCCACTGTGTTGACTTGGTTGACAGTGGAGCTAAAAAGTTGAAAGGGATGATGACGGACAAACACGGACAGACAATCACTCAGATGATACAGCTGAGCTAAAAACTTCATGGGCTGCTTTTTAGGTGTGCATTACGTTTATGTAGTTGGAAGTCTCAGTTCACAGTTTGCGTTAGCCCAGAGGGCTCTTTTTTGGGATTTTATTCAAACATGTTTTTCATAAATAACTTTTTTTCTCTCAGTTAAAGTGTTAGAAATCTCTAGTATTTAGACATCACCACTATAACTAGATTTATTTAATATGTTTTTACCCCACTGCATCCCATAAATTAATTCCGGGGTGGAACAAGATCAGTTTCAGTACGTTTTATTGCATTCATGTCATTTTTAAGGTGAGCTCGTGTAGTTAATTCTATGGCTGTGCCCCCATTTCCTACTTTGGAGTTTCAGGAATCACTGTTGACTAAGAACTCTGGCAGATGACCCAGTGCCTGGATATGCTTTGTAGTGTGCCCATTGAGTTTTTCCAATGCTAAACATTGGATAGAGAAAGTATGACTTACAATGTAACTTCCTGTGGGGGTAATTTCAAATGTCTTCAGAAGTTCGGGTGCACTGGGCTTCTTGGGTGACCAATTTTATAGGCACCTCAGGGTGCCTTTTTAGCGCACTAAGGCCTATCCCGGACATTGGATTGTGTTTAGAATGTAAGTATGACTTCACTAAGTAAAATTATTATGGAGAGGATTTGTTTATTCTGCCAACTTCATTTTAAAATATAAACAAGCATTGATAATGCATAGTCCACGTTAAGTTTTATCTGAGTCTGCCATTTTGGTTCAGATTTTGAAAAAAATATGACGTGCACCTGTAACCCAATATGCATGATCACCATACAGAGTTGGATTGAAATCGCACTGTTCATCTCCAAGAAACAGTTCCAGACATGTTACAGAATGATATTTTACGTTTTTTTGACAAAATAGCTGCCATTTCAACAAATCTGATCAATTTACATAAGAAAACATGGTGTTGTGTTATCTTGAAGTATAGTATCCATGTACAAACTTTGAACTGAATCAGGCCATATCTTATGGAGGAATCAGCAAGAAAACGGGAAAACACAAAATGGCCGCCAGTCGGTCATCTTGGACTGAATCTCGAAAAAAAATTGATGTGCACCTATAACTCAATATGCATGATCACTATACCAAGTTGGATTGAAATCACCTTGTTCAGCTCCAAGAAACAGTTCCGGACACATTTAAATATCAGAATTTAGCAAATTTGAGGGACAAAATGGCTGTCAGTCAGCCATATTTAATCGATGCATAACAAAAATTGCCTGTATATGTTGGTCATCATACATTGTCTGTATGCCAAGTTTGAACGAGATCGGTCAAAGGGTGTCGGAGAAATGGCTCCGGACGGACACACGGAACGCAAATTAATAGTCCTCGTTTTCGGACTTCGTCCAACGGGGACTAATAACAGAAATAATTCTTAAGCACCAAAAACCAGATACTAATGTGACACAGTGTTCTACTTGCAACCATAGTAAAACGAAATCAAGCAGTGACGTACAATGCTAATTGGCATCTGTATTTTTTTGAAATCAGGTTGATTGATATGATTTTACATATATCAAGGAAGTCGCTAACAGCAAACTACACAAAATTACTACACCACCACTTGATGTATCTAAAATTGCTGTATGCTAGTTTTATGGCTCATGGGGGGGTACACCAGGTTTGAATACGGTCAGTTGATGAACAACACATGATCTTCTATAGTGTAATTATGATCACCAAAAAGGCAGGAATAGGAACTGTTATCACAGCAAAATAAATAATCCAAACCTCAATACTAATGTCAGGAGGTACAATCCACTTCAATAACTCGTCTTTAGAGAGTAATTGGACGCAATTAGTATCATATGTTCTACATAAGTGTTTCAGAAGAAATAATCGTGGCCACTCGGAAGTGCATCCTTCGCAGTATTTTCTGGCTTTATCAAATAAACATTTAATGGGTGCCATGTCCTCTGACTGAGCATCGTTGTACAGTAAACTGCCAGAGTAATAGCGCTGGATGTTTTCCGCAGTAATTATCAATCCAAACCGAGCTGCAGCAATGGATTCCAATTGATCCACATTCAGGAGGTCTGTGTGATGATGACTTTTGTTCATAGCTGTCTCCAGTTTACTTATAGCCACTTCAACCATGGTTGATTGGGATTGTTGTGCAGAACTACTTTCCAGATTGTAGTATGAATCCTAATAATAATAATAATAATAATAATAATAACATCAACGAGGAGATGGTGCAATTAGTTATAATATATTAAGCAGATTTCTCTGTAGGCCCAGACTTCACAGCAACTCATGCACAAAGTGGTTTTATAAAACTTATACATGTAATTAGTTGTTATTCTTTATAATAATACACTTGTTACTGAGACAATAGATATATGCCAGAATTGCTTAGATTTGATAATAGCAATTTCAATATATATTTTTTAAGTTGAATTTGTGACAGTTGTAACGTTTCAGGTTACAATTCATGGTTGAAAGTAAGAAAATGTACGAAAATTTGCTGAGTGATAGTTTAGTCTAAAAACAAGTCATTGAAAATGACACAGTCCCCGTTAAATTTTTGAAAGTTCTCTTTGTGCTCATCACATTAAAGTGGAGGAGTTGTCGCAAGCGTGTCCTTGAAACTTGAGTTCCAAGTGGCATATACAACAGATTGTTTATTTACATCAAAACACGTGTTCCGTGTAGTAGTAATATGGCCAAAAATAAAAACAGCCGTTATTCGGCCATCTTTGATCTGATTATGAAACACATTGATATGTATGATGTATGTGCCAAATACGAATGAAAATGGTACATAAATTGTGGAAATATAGTAGTAAGGCCAAAATATCAGATGGCTGTCAATCAGCCATCCTTGACCAGATTTTGAAACAAATTGTCATGGACATGCATCCTAACATGTATAAAGTACATGTATGTGCCAAATTTGAATGAAAACTGACAGAGCACATCCAAGATACCGCATATAAAAAAAACAAGATGCCTGCCAGTCGGCCATCTTTGATCCAATTGTGAAATAAATTGTCATGGACATGTATCCTAACATGTATAATCTATGTACCAAGTTTGAATGAAAACTGACAAAGCATGTCCAAAATACAACAATTTCAAAAAACAAGATGGCTGCCAGTCGGCCATTTTGAATCGAATCGCTA